TCATCGTAGAATGCTTTTTAAACGGTTTCTCGGTTCCCTTAAAACTTCTCGTTTATCTGTTGCTCTTTGATCGAGAGCCAAACAAGATGTGGTTTAGTGTGTTCTAACTTTTATGACCGGCATTTCCATTCTCCTTCATCCATCATGTATCGTTGATCGTTTTAAAAAAGAAGAAACGTGTTCATCTCAAGTTACACATTAACCTTTTCGAGATTAATAGAACATCGTGTCTCAAAATAACTTTTAAAATGGATTTTAGCATTGCTACAATTTTTGATCAAATATTAATGGCAAGATTTATTGAGAGATATATTGAACAATATTAAACAAACAATGTATTATATAGTATTTTATAATACTATTAATGAACTACTACTATTAATAATATTATTATGGTTTTAAATTTTTTAGTCTATCAGAAAAAATAACTATCAATGTAACTATAATACTATTCAATGGAATATTATATCTCAGTAAAATAAACTTTTAATATTATTTAAAATATTTATTGAAACAATAATCCAGAGAATTCAATATTATTTTTAATTAATTTACTATATTTCTTTACTATATTTCTTGCTATCATGTTCATACTCATGTTAAAAATTTGTCTCGAAAGTTTACAAAACATGATTGAACAAAATATGATTTATCGGAAAGAAAGAAAGAGAGAGAAGGCAAGATTGCTCGAGAATTTCTTTTTATCCAAGTGATCGAGGAAATTGAATAAATTGTTCGATGAATTGAAAGAAGGTGCATAAAAAAGTCAGAGATGAAACGATGATCGAGCTCAATTTGCTTCGAAGCGATGCTGACATTAAATTGAAATTTCACGAACTCGATTAAACCTTTTTGTCGATTATGCGTATTGGAAGACGTTTTTAACTTTGGTTTAAATGATGAAGGATGAAAGAGTATTCTTTTTTTTTTCATTTGATGATTCCACGTTGTTCGAAATGGATCTTTGAGATTTTTTTTTTTTTATATAAACTTACTGATGGTTTTTTCGAACGAAAATTTCATTTCACCGATATTACTTTATGCACGTGTTTCGATCTTTGATAAAATAAAAGATGGAAAAAATTTTTGTTCCAAAAGGACGTTTAAATTCAAAATCTCAATAATAATTCTATAATTCTTTGAAAGATTCTCGAATCTCTGATAATTATTTAGAATATTTCGTTTGAAATTTTAGGAAATTTTCGTTAGAACGAATGAATGTGCAGAGGAATTTTTGACCAGAGCAAATGATTTTTGTACGAAAAATATTAACTCTTCGATCAAAGTATTTTAAGTAATAATGTATTTCGAATGTTTGGAATGTTCACAGCGGAATTTATTCTTCAAAATAAAAGTTACTTTGTTTTTACGAAACGATATATATTCTTTGCAGTTAAAAACATTTTTTGAAATTAATAATAAATAATTAAATATTTGAAATACTTTTTAATTTCATAGTTCATTATTCATAGTTCATTATTCGTATTTAAAATATTTATAACCAAATGTTTTATTTGAGATTATATCATCATTCATCTTTTTCACATAATCATCATATATATGTCTTTTTTCATATCTTCACAAATTTGCAATTTTTTTGCACAATATACGAACTCGTTCGCATTGTTAATCTCTCATAACTCATCAGGATGTATCAGATATATTTCATAGAAATGGTTCTCATTTTATTTATTCTCGAGGGAACGCAGCTTAGCTTACTCTATTTGTATCGAGACTAATCGTCGTATTTTACACATGCATGCATTGAAAATTTAAATGGAGTTACGTATTGGCACGAACGATATGAGTTTAACACGTATAATTAGAATATATTTACAATAGCACAAATCAAAAGTGATACATAATTCAATTATTAGCAATTATTACTGATAAATTATTCAATTCGTGTGAATTATATTTTTTATATTACTCAAATACAAAAAGAAAAAAAGTATACACCATTCGAATACTTTTCACGATTAACATTTTAATTTTTCAAGAATTGAAAATTTATTCATGTTTAAAAAAGAGTATCTCGCAAATATTTCATAATACTTTTGAGAAACATTTAACGAAACAAGAAAGAATAAAATTTCTACGAACCAACCAAGAGATTTTTTTCCTCTTGAAACAAATATTATACTTCAAAAGAAGGTAAAAGAACAATTCCAAAAGAGATCTCCACTCTTATCATCATTTTGCATTCTTCTAGAACGAATGCAACGAACGACAAACTTCATCCGCGTTAATTTTGCGCTTCGCACAATTCTCAAATTTCATATCCCCGGAAAACTTTGCACTGTTAAACCGCGCAAAATCTTGATTTCCCAGGCGGTTCCAAAACTGGTTCTTAGAAACGTCATGATATTTCACTCAGGACGGATACGTCCATCGTTTCAATTGCCATTTCTAGTTGGCGAAGAAAGCGTGGACTCAAGTCTGTTTGAAATTTATCGGCCCATGCACGATTGACAATTAATCCTGAACCGGTGACAGGTGACTCGAATGCGATTCACGTTGACCGTTTTTGTTCCGATACGCCCGTCATATCAGAGATATCAATTACTGTAGAGGGATAAGGGAATATCTTGTTCTGGAATGAAAATAATGCGGTTTAAGTTGAAATCGAAAGGGGTCGAAATGTAAATAGAAAAGATCCTTGTTGTGTATACGAAGATTTTAAGTGTTTATAGAGAACAATCTTTTCGATGTAAACTTAAGAGCGTTACATTTAGTCTCATTGAAATTGATTAAAAATATTTAAATGTTTTATTAAAACATTGAAAATAGATAGGACTATGATTATGTAAAGTTTGAAATAAATTCAAAAGAGTTATAAAATGTTTATTATAATACATTTAGATAAATCTCTAGAAGATTATAATTAAATATCCAATTCTTATTAATGTGATGAAAATCACTTGTTTAGGTATTGTTAAGGTTCTTCACAAAATATACAGTCCACTATCCAAGATAATACATGTTATATTGATTTACCATCGAAAGAAAAATATTAACATCCTATAAAAAAAGACAATTTTTCC